CAAAGTTACCGGGCGGGCTCACCGCTCGTCGGACTTGGGTATAGGGGCGAAGACTAATCGAGTCGTCAAGTAGTTGGGTTCATTCGCAGTCCCCCTCGGAGACGGCGCAGACCGGTGGGTGACGCTGTGGCGGTGTCCTGGCTGGCCCGGAGTCTAGTACCGCTCGAACGGAGCGGGGGTCGACCTACGGGAAGGAAAGGGAAGACGAAAAGGACCTGGACGCTTTTTGCGCCAGGTGCAGGCATCGTTGGAGGACGGGAATGTCGGAGTAGCGGGGAGCCAAGGACGACATGACAGCAGCGGAGAGGGACAGGCGCTATGACTGTGGGGCGACGACCGGGCTGCTGCGATATCGGGAACTGCGCTGGCCGAGACAGGCCGACTACGGGGCAGGCGAAGCAGCCGGTGTGAGACGAGCGCTGGGACGGACGCAAGCAGGGCAGCAGGGAAGAAGTAAGAAGGGGGGGATGAATCCGGGCGCGTTTTTGCGCCGGATTCATTCAAGGAAAGGGGGTTATGGCAGGAGCTATAGTATGCTCGTTTCCTAACAGAAACGAGCGGGGAAAGATACTGGGTCGGGGTTTAACGATTGGGCGAACCAGTCTATGATGTAAGTTTTAGGAAACAAGTCAGAGAAATAGAGGTTAGTACAGAGATTGATGCGCGGAGCTATGGCGGGGAGGAGAGAAGGTAAGGAGTGAAAAATCGAGATTTCACTTGATTCTTAATGGAATAGAGTGAAAGAAGATAGTAGATTAGTGTTTTTGAGGTAGGCGAATCCAAATATGTAGTTAGATTGGTGAAAGAGTTAGTAGAATAAAAGTTAGTAGGGAAATACAGTGCGCGGAGGTTCTCGGAGGTGGATATGGCCGAAAGTAAAAATCAATTATCTCGCTCGTTTCCTAGCGAAATCGAGCGAGAGGAGAGTCGATCTAGCGGTTTTGGGACAAGGCGAGACGGATTCCATCGCTAGCTTTTGTAATGGGTTAGCGAGTTAGGAGTTAGATGGGAGAAGGGCTGCGTAGAGCTATGGAAGAAGAAAGAGGGAGTGATCTTACCTCGCTCACTTTTGAGCAGATTTGAAGGGCCAAAGCGTCTATATGGGGGTTTGGGGGAGCTTCAAGCAGGATAGGGAAGTCATATTTGGGGGAGCAGGTGTAGATTTTGCGTCATGTGGAACATAGGCTGCGCCCGGGGAAATGGCAGGTTAAATATAGAATGAACCTACCCGCATACTAAGGGTAGAATCATTTTGATTTTGCTCGTCCTATCGATGGAAGGAGTAAAGGAGGGGATGAAAGCAAGAAAGAACTCTGCAGGAAGGGAACTGATCGATAAAAGGAGGGTCAAATCGTGGGAATGAACCTACCCATGATTCGGGGGTAGATTCATTGATTTCTATTTACTTTTATTTTTCGTTCTTTCTGCTTTCATATTTACTGTGCGAATGGAATACCTGGCCTTGTTCTAGTGGCAAATTTACTCTGGCCTTGCAAAGCCGCTTGACTCCCCAAAACCGAAAATACTCCGCTGGCTGTTCGGCGTGATCAGGCGGTCCCTTATGGCCGTGGCGCTGGCCACTGTGCCCAAATCCTGTAGCGGTTGCTGTTACGTTCGCCAGCTTCGTCGAGGTCAGAGCCGTGTTCTGTTTCCTCACGGACTTGACTGAAATTGTGGCGGTGATCGCTGATGCAGTCTCTCTTGGATCAAGATCTCTAGCCGAACCAGACTGTAGGAACAGCCAGGTGCATTTCTGCGTTAATGATGACAAACGAGGGGGCGAGGAGGCGACAGCGGACCCAAGGACTCGGCTGTCCGGCCTAGATGTGGCCCGTTGAGCTGAGCTGAGCAGCTAAAGGCGAACTGTTGGAGGGCGGGAGCTCGCTCGCTGGATTAATACGCTGCCCACCTTAGTGAGCAGAGTGGTGGAAAGAGAGCGGCAGAAGCTGCAGAGCTCCCTGTAGGTTGGCGGATTGCACCGGGTCGCCGGCTAAATTGGGTTGTTGTTCTACTACGGAGGGAGGAAGAGCTGCGTTTTTTTGGGGTCAACGGCCTTTGTCTTGGAAAGTGGTCTAGGCAGGTCGGGCCTCGAGACGTTGTAGGGTGGCCGAGTCTGTAAAAGAAGGGCACCATTTTAATCAGGAAAGGTCCGGGAACAACCGCGGAAAGGCTAAGTCTGTTGCGAAGGGGGGAGRTTATTRYTGCGACTAGRAGAGGCCGTTAGAGGGTTCAATATTTGGCTACTGGGCTTCRGTTTGACCAAGCGGCAGMAGTCTTTGRCCGCCATTGCGGGACCCTCAGGCGATCCAAGACTACAAGGCCCTCTCCCGCGAGTCTGAGAGCACCATTCTTGGATCTGAGAGTCTCACGCTTTTCTCTATCTGCCCTTYTAARGTCTAAGTCTACTCTTTGGTTACGAGAGGAAGGCGGCAGGCGGGATTGCAACCCGTAGGTCCGCATCAAGACTCTGTGGGGAGTCCACCCACCGATTGCGGGAGCTCTAGCGGAACCTAGGCGAGGTTCTGGAGGCAGGGAATTGTCAGGTAAACCACTTCCATTTGTACAACCTTCTACCACCCATGTTTGCCTATATCCCCGTAGTATGATTGTTGTATGCGTGCGTTGTCCCTATGATTTTGTTTTCTCTCCAAGACCATTCAGACGAACTGGAAAGAATGTGTGAGAGTGAAGCCTAAGTTTCTACTTTATTGTGATTGAAAGTAGACTAAGGTATGAACTGGGGGAAGGTGGGAGGAAGGCAATCTTGCATGCGTTTGACCGGGTCAACCAAAGCCTGAGCATTGTTTCTACTGTGAATGGCTCAGGGCTGTGTTTATTTGGCTGTTTTCTGAAGGACCAGGCATTGTTTTCACTATGAATGGCCTGGTCGTTGTGTTTATTTGATTGTTTTCTGGGGAACCAGGCATTGTTTTTACTGTGAATGGTCAGGCTACCTTAGTTAACTCTGAGGGTTTGCCTGATTAAAAGGGGGTTTAAATTCTTGTTTATTTTGAGGGGGGATTTTTGGTCTAAGGCTAAGCATTRTTTCCATGGTGAATGGTTTAGCCTGAAAAYCACGCACATAATTTAAACGGAGTATAAAGRAAAGTATTTTTATGTATATTTGCATGTGAACTGGCAGCTGGGCATTGTTTCTACTGTGAATGGTCCAGCGTTAAGCCATATCATTAAGAAGAGAAAAAGGAAAATACAAAGTTTAAATGGAAATAGTTGGGCAAGCTGAACATTGTTCCTACTGTGGATGGTTCAGTCCCCTGCCCGTATTTGCTTTTCCTTTTTTTGAAAACAAAGTCAGAGAAGTACTAAATTTTTGGATATTAAACAGCTCAGGGCGACTAAGCATTGTTTCCATGGCGAATGGCCTAGTCATCTGCCCAAAGGAAGAGAGAAGTAGTTGTGAAAC